ATGCATATTGCATGTAAATATGAAAAGATGTGAGTTCAAGTGAAGGAATGCATCACAGTGCACTTGTGTACTATAAAAACTATGATTATTTTAATTAGCCATGACACCAAAGATCACACTTTTTTGATAGGCTGGTTTTGTTTTTGACTCAGATTGAGCTGGCAGTCATCCGAGACCCTGTCATTTCTGCACGTGCTATTATTTAGCCATGTTATCTTTCCCATCTTGTTCTTGTGCAATTGTTTTTCTGAAATCTAAGTGTGGGATTGATTTACATAGCCTGTTAAATTCTAGCTTCAGACCCTTGTTATCACCTATCAGGATAATTTTGGTTGTTGACTTTATCATCTAATATTTTCCCCAACCTCCTGGGTTTATGTTATCTTCCCAGTTGATGAGCATGCTATCTCCATTGGTGTATCCATTCAGTGACTATAGAGTACCCTTTGATGTGCCAGGCACTTTTGTAAGTGCTGAACATACAGTGAGCAAAACTGAAATCTCTGTTTTCCTGGAGGCTTCATTCAAGTAGGGAAGATAGACACTCAGTAAAGATGAATAAATCACGTGTGTGGTGTTTTAGTTAATGCCAAGTACCAAGGAGAAATATAGAGCAGGGAAGAGGGATAGGAAGTGAGGGGGGAATTTTCGCAACTTTAGATAGAATGGCCAGAGAAAACTCATAGGAAATAGTGACACTTGAGCAGAGATCTGAAGATATTTTTCTAGCCAATTCACTGGAAACTCTGATGATAAAATAATCCTTCCATCTGTTGCTAGAGCCTTCTCTACAGACTGACGTTAATGCACTAACTAGTATCTTTTGAGTACAGCCAACTAATCCACTAGATTTCTCTGTAACTTAATTATCTAGGGTCCATTTCTCTATAATGTTCTTAAAGGTATCTGGGGACATATTAAAACCTGGATATTTAACCTGTATGGTGTCTCCCTTAAGTGGTCTAGTAAAACCCTCACAAACAAAATGAGTTTAATGTGAAAAGACATAGTTCCCCTTGTTGACTTGGCTTTTAGTGCTTACCAAGTACCACGGCTGAGAAGCAGTGATGTTGCAGGCAGAAGGAGAACTGGTGACCCGGAGACCATTTTCTGTCTTCATAGATTTTCTGAAGCACAGGTAAAAAGACTCAGTGCTCTTAACATCATGGGAAATTAGACTTCTTGCCCAGTAACTTTTGGCAAATGTCATTCTGAACAACGAACCCCTCATTTAGCCTGATCATTTCAGTCCATACCTACCTATGGTGTGTCTCTACTGAACCTCTCTCTTATTCAGGGCACAGCTTCCTTTTAAACCGGTTGAGACTATTGGAGGCTGCGTGCACCCTGTGCTGTCCCTCTACCTGCCAGGTGTACTGCTGTGATCTTCACAATAACCTGCAGGCTGCAGTGTTGCCATGATTATCCTCAGCCCAGGCACCAGGCTGGGTTCTCCAAAGTGTACAAACAGGTTGGGCTGACGTTGCAGGTAGGCACTGATTTCATCCAGCAGACAGAGGACGCACGTGAGGTTAGCCATGAGCTCCAAGAACAAAGCAAAGCTCAGCGTCTTCATTAGACCCCACCGTGGTTGCACAAAAGCTCTCCCTTTGGCATCTCTGGCCTCAGTTCCTTTGTCTGTAGATCACTGGATTACCTGTGATGATTTCTACACCTAGATTCAGGTACCAGGTGTCCATTTCAGAAGAAATAATCAGTCACTGGTAGTTTAGAACCCCGACTTCACAACAGTTTAGCCTAATGAAAAGCAAATTCGTGGACGTGAGGACAGAGATTTAGGTAACAATGGAAAGACTGGAAGAGGACTAGACACCTGGTAAGCACAGAGGCCCTAGAGAGGCACCTTCTTGTTCATAGCCAATGCTGGAGCGGATACAGTGGAGCATGCTGGCCTGGTGGGACTTCAGGTAACAAGAAGAAATGCAAATGCAGGAATACTCCCCCATCCCCATGGTGTCTGTTCTGCTCCCAACTGTTGGACCCACCTCCTTTTCTTTCTACCTCCACTTCTCCTTTTAACCTCATTTCCTTCCTAACTCCCACTCTAGGGGAGAATGTTCAAGAAACGTCTCCTTTCCTGAAAGCAAATACATAATTATGAGAGTGGCACCTTGATCCGAATGGCCCTTTGTTCTGCTTCTTAATGACTAATTATCATGCTATGAAAAGGCTTATGCAACCCTAGCAGAGTCAGCCCTCCTGCTAGAGTGGCTGGAAGTGTGTAATCTTCAAAAAGCTGTGACTGCGACCTGGGATTGCGTAAGAAATAATTACAGAATCCAGCCGGGGCTTGCTTCTTATTACAGGCTCCAGGGTTTTACCCCCAGTAGCTTTACATGCTTGTTAATATTTAAACTGTTGAGTAGTAGCAGAATATTTTGTAAGCTTCAATAATGGTTGCAGAGTTCAGTATTGGATGAGGACCCAGGGCAGGCAGGGTGGAAGAAGACAGAAAAGGACCAGGTTCCCACTGAGTTTTCCTTGAGGATTTTTGTCCTTCTGCAAATAACAGCTCTTGGGGAAGTTTTAAACTTTCATTCTTTGCCATGGAAAAAAAGTTAAAAATCATCAGCCCTCTTAAAATCTCTGAATTTTTACTTTATTCTTTATTTACTTATTTGCAGTTCTGGGATGGAACCCAGGGCCTTGTACATTCTAGGCAAGCTCTCTGCCACTGAGCTACATCTCCAGCCCCATAGCTCACATTTTTTTAAAGGTTTTTTTTTTTTTAATACCCAACTAAAACCCATTATCTTATAAAATAGACTTTAAATGTGATTTTTTTTTAATCAAAAAAATTTTTTAGTTGTAGATGGATACAATACCTTTTATTTATTTATTTATTTTTATGTGGTGACGAGGATCAAACCCAGTGCCACCCATGTGCTAAACAAGCACTCTACCACTGAGACACAACTCCAGCCTTTAAATGTGATTTTAACTTTAAAAAGTTAGTGAAAAAAAATTTTTAGTAGCTCTGGTCACCTACCTAATCTTAAAGCAAGAGAAGAAAGATTTAATCTAGTTACTGTCCTCCCCCCAAACACACACACACACACACACACACATACTAGTGACAAAGCCTGACACTCTAATCTGCCCCAGATGGCAGAAGCTCCTGTCTGCATCCTTAGCCTTTGGAAAGTCAGCCTCTTGACCTCCAACTATCTGTCTCCTCTCTGCAAAATCAGGCGCGTCCTCTGTCTTGTCTGTGTGCTTTTGTGGCGCCTGTCACTGTGGGATCTAGGCACAGAGACAAAAACATCAGGCAAAATACACATTTGTGCATTATGAGAGGAAACGCTGTCTGGCTTCCTGGAGTCCCCCTCGGCTTAGGTTGCAGTAAGGACTTATCCCAGGGTGATTTGCAAAGACTAAGGAAAAGTGTGGATAAAGCCAACCGTGGAGTACTTCCTTGTTTTCATTTATAAAAGAAGCAACAAGTTGGTGTTTGTCAAGTTTGGCAAAATTGCTGAAGTCTTTAAATGTCTCCGTCAACATAGGAATAGGGCTTCTATTCAAAAGAATGAGAAAGCATTTTGTTTCTTCTCTTCTCCTTTTTTATCTTTTCCTTTCCCTCCCTCCTCTATTTTATGCCTTTCTTCTCCCTCTCCTCATTCTTCCTGCCTTCTTTCCCCATTTATCTTCTTTCCTTTTCTAGAAAATATATCTGTTTAAATAAAGTAATACACATTCACGGTGAAAAAAATTTTCTCCCAAACAGAATAAAAAAGTGACAGAGAAAATACTCCTCCACATCTCAGACCTTTCCAGCCCTACCAGTACCCATAGGTAACAACAATTTAAACCTTTATTAGAATCTTTCTTCGGATTTCCTCTGCGTGTGCACACATTCACGCGCATGGATGTGTCTATTGATCTATATTTAAAGATCTTCAATGTGAATGGGGTCATACTCAATATATAGACCTGTAACTTGTTCCCCCCCGGCCCCCCGGCCATATAATAGCGTTTCTGGGACACCTTTCCAAAACAGCACAAAGATATATCCATGCACTTCCTGACTGCTTCTAGTCCATTTTGTGGTCACATCCTAATTCATTTAACCAGTTTCTTAAATTGGTAATAAAAATTGTTTTCCACTTTGGGGGGATTACAAAGAATACTTCAACACACCTTCTAGTCCACTTGTGCTTTTTGCACAGTTGAAAGAGTATACCCTAAGGATAAATTCCTACCAATGGAATTGCTGGGTCAAAGGGTATGTGCATTTTACACTTTAATAGATATTGCCAAATTACCCTGCAAAAAGGTTGCACCAGTTTACAACCCCATTAACACTATGTGAACTACCTATTTCCTCAAAACATTACTGACTCCGCGGTCTATCAAACATCTAAATCTTTGCCAATGAGCAACAAAAAGTTGTTATTGTTTGAATTTACATTTTAATTATGAAAAATTAAACCCTGTTTCACGTGTTTATGGCCCATTGGTCATAAATGTTTCCTCTGGTGTGTGTTTGTGTGTGAAAACTCTAGTCTTGCCACTGTTTATTTCCATTGGTGTTTTAGTAGTTTAAAAAATTGATTTACAAAAACTTTGTTATTAAATTTTATTCTTTGTTCTTCAAATACATTCTCTACCATTTTTTTTTAAAACCAGTGGAAGTTAACCATTAATTACAGATTTAAACTTACCTGCCTTTTCTTTGGTAACATTTAGGTCTTCATACTTCAATGACACCTGACCTCTTTTACAAATTACTCTATTAGATTTGCTTTATACATGTTTTTTTTTCTATTTCAGACATCTATTTTAGTGTATGGAGTGAGGTAGGGATTTGATTGGAGATCATATTGGCTCTATGTAGTTTTATAAATCAGCCTGTTAGCTACAGTGATGTGTTGCAAGTGGATGCTTTGTGTCCCTTTGGAAATAAAAAGGTTGTAGGCAAGCTTTTCGTAAGATCTGGGCAACAGCTTGTTTATATCAAAATTCTGTTCTTTTCTCTTCAGGAGAACACTTGGCTGATCTTCGAAGGAGTTAAGGAGCAGATAGCAGGAAATTATAGAGAAAAATGGAAAACAGATTCTTTGGTGAAAGTGCATAATCTTGGAGAATATCATGTCAAGTAAGCCAATCCCCCCAAACCAAAGATCTCATGTTCATTCTGAAAAATGGATGCTGATCCATAATGAGAGGGGGCGGGGTGGGAAGAATGGAGGAACTTTGAGCTAAGGGGAGGAAGAAGGAGAAGGGTATGGGGGAGGAAAGATGATGGAATGAGATGAACATCATTACCCTAGATACATGTATGACTGCATATGTGGTGCGACTCTACATTGTGTACAACCAGAGAAATGGAAAGTTGTGCTTCATTTGTGTGCAATGCATAGAAATGCATTCTGCTATCATGTATAACTCATTAGTACAAATTTTAAAGATTAAAAAATAAAAAAGAAAGTGCATAATCTTAGAACCAGGAATATTTCTGCTTTAATACTATGAACATAGAGGACAGAGACTCATGGGCTGAAGAAACAACTGAGCAGATTAATTCCACTTACCTTTTGTTTATCTAGCTATTTCTAGAATGAATAAAGGAAAAATACTTTTCTTATGCTCTCATTCCAACAATATTTCTGTGATCTCACCTAATACACAGCCTGGGATTTTTAGTGTTCTTCCCATAGTTCTTAAATCTATGGAGTATTTTTCTCTTTAAAGACCGAATAAATTAATTGCATCAGTAACATTAGAGGTTTATATTTCTTGGCATGAGCAATACCATGTATGTACTGGCAAAGACCTACATGACTTTGATTTGCAACATAAATAATATAATCCCATAGATCAAATTCCAAGTAATTGAGTTAAAAGATACTGAAGGACTCTTTTCTCCCAAGTATCTACCTCTTGATAAATTGTGCAATTTGTATAGTTATAATTAGATTTGATGAGGATTGATTTCATCATTAGAGGTATAATATTACTACTGTTAATACTGATTACTGTTTGTTGAGTATGCACTCTGTGCCATTATTGTATATATGTATGTGTATGTATGCATGTAACAAATATATCATCTATAAAATCTATGTACACATAGGACATATAGATCTATTATCTATAAAAATCTATTGTGTACAGAATTATGTATATATTCTAATTTATTCCTCACTGTGACCACTATACAGATAAAAAAATAGAAGTTCAGTTTGACTTAAGTACCTAGGTTGAGATCATACAACTGTTGAGTGAAGGGTTGAGAGCTAATTCAGGACTATTTGACCCCAAACTTTGTGCTGCTATTATTTCATCCTGTTCTTTCCTCTAAGGACAGGTGCAGACACAATGAGAGGCAGGAGGATTTCCAGTGGAGCTTGAATTTTACATCATATGTAAAATCCAAATGGTGCTCTCCTTTCCTGCTGCCCCCTTCAACAGGTCTGCCATCTACTTGTTGCTATGGAAGCCATATTTTTAAGGGTTCCAAGACCCTCTACCCTTGTCCCTCCTAGAATTCCAACAGGTATTCCTACATCTGGAGACAGTCCATAGGGAGCACTGGGTAGCAGGAACCCCTCCCAATCTGGCTACCTTTAGCTCAGGATGAAGTGAAGGGGCCAGGGAAGGGGTGGAAGTGGTCTGGCTGTGGCTCTCAGATGAGGTCCAGCAGCCAGGTGTGTGCAGAGTAGCCCTTCCTGTGAGGGCTCTGGATTCCTGATTATGAAAGCCCAGGAGGGCCCCTTTTCCTGGATGATGAGGCCTCACTGATCTAGCCTGTACTCTCTTTCAAGGATCAGCAGCCCCTCCTCTCTTCTAGCTCATTCCAGTAATGGTTAAGAATGTTAAAACATTTTTTTTTTCTTCTAAAGGAAGAGTAACCTTTCCCAGACCTGCTGTATTTTTCCCAGCTTTTCCCAAGTCTGAGTCCCCTCTTTGCGGTCAACGTTCTGGAGAGGACACGCACAGTCCCTGCCCCTGTCTCTGCCCTACCCTGCTTCCTCATCCTGTCCTCATCTGGCCCTTGGCCCCACCATGTCTCTGCCGTCACGCCCCTGAGGTCACTGCGGGCCTTGCTGCCAAGTCATTATCTTTGACTTCTTTGCTGGATAGGACCCTAGGGGACATGTCCTCTGAACACACAGTTTCTCTTTATTTTCAAGAAGGAATACTCTGTTTCTCCCTTTTACAGATTCCTTGTGTCTTTTTGTGTGTGCGTGTGCGCCAGGGATTGAACCCAGTGCCTTGCCCATGCTAAGTACATGCTCTTGCACTGAGTTGAATCCCCGCCCTTTATTCATACCTTGAGCATAATGGTTAAATCCCTGGTTATCTTGCCTTCTCCCTGTGCTCAGGAACACTTTACTAGTAGCTTCAAAAACTGTTACTTCTTTGTCTCATTTCTATATATGCATATAATCATAGATAAATTACGTATAGGTAGAGTAATTTTATGTATAGTATTACATATAGAATTATATACATCATATAGATATTATAGATAGAAAATTGTATTTGAAAAAGCTTAATTTTTTTTTTTCTATTTCCAGGGTTGTAAAAACTATCCATGTGCTGCTGTTTCCTATTCTTCACCCCCGGCCCAGATCTTTCCTGAACTTCAGGCTTGAATATGCAACTGCTTCCCTGATGGGCTTCATTTGAGTGTCCTTCCTGCAACTTAAAATCCGTGTGTTCCAGACCCAACTCTGCGCTGGGCTGAAGGCCATGGCTGACTCCAATGGTGCCTGTGGGCAAATTGGAAAAAATGCACACTTTTCTCAAAATACTTTACTCTCCTTGGACAAAATTTATTGTAATTGATGCCAAAATTATTATGACTCTGATGTCAAGGGCACTCCCTTTATTTGTGCATGACAAGAAAGTCTTGAATTGCTGCACATAGACATGCGCATGCACACACATGCAAAAGCAAAGTGGCGCCTCCTTGACTCCATGACTGTGGGAATGGCCTCCTTGCCTACCAGTGTCCTTCTCCTGACCTTCACTTCTAGTCATCTCCAAGTCCTGGGGATGCACCTTCAAAACTTGTCAAAACCTGTTTATTCTCCATCCCTGCTGTGGCTTATTCAGACCATCTTGACTCACTTGTGTTGTTGCAACAGCCTCTAATGTTGCCTATATGGGGTCCTCTCCTTTCTGTTCTTCCTGGAGTAGATTTATCCTTATTAGCAAAACCAACTGCTATCTGCTAAAAGCACTTCAGTGACTCCCCATTGTTCTCAGAGTACAGAGCAGGATCCTTTATGATCTTGCTGACATTTACCTCTCTGCTTTGCCTTCTTTCCCACAACCATAGGTTCTGCAGTTCATGAATGCAGACAGTTTGCAATTCCCCAAATGTGCATGCTCTCTCTTGGCTTTGTGCCGGTGCACATACCGTTCCCTTCACCTAGAAGCTTCCTTTCCACTCCCTGCTCCTAACTCCAGCTTATTCATGGCTCAGGTTTCAGTGTAAATACCACAGTATCCAGAAAATTTTCTCTACATCCTTGGAGCCTGGGAGCAATGCACCTCTGGATGCCCACATCATTTCGAGGTTCATCTCCATGATGGTCCCACACCTGACACGGTGCTTACCTGTTTACAGGGAGGTCTGCAGGGTGGATTCTGTTTTGGCCTTCCTTTTTTTTTTTCTGTTCAATCATGTCTAGAATGTGATAAGGTGCTCAAAAAGGTTTGCAACTGAACAGAGGTACAGAGAAAAATTTCTTACCCTCAGATTTCCTGTTATTCAATTAAACCGGAACTTCCTTACTTCATTGAAAAAATGTGTGTATAAGCCAAAATGCCATAGATATGAAAGAAAGATATGATATCTATTATTAAATTACTAAGGAAATCTAAAAACTCAATTGTTAAAAAAAACAACAAATAATCTGAATTAAAAATGGACGAAGGACTGAATAGACATTTCTTAATAGAAGACAAATAAATTGCCAACAGGAGCCAGGCATGGTGGCTCATGCCTGTAATCCCAGCTAACCTGGGGGTGGGGTCGACTGAGGCAAGAGGATCTGAAGTTCAAGGCCAGCCTAAGCAACTTAGTGAGACCCTTTCTCAAAATAAAATAAAAAGGGTTGGGGTATGGCTCAGTGGTAGAGTGCTTGCCTAGCATGCATGAAGCCCTGGGTTCTATCCCTAGCACCACTGTTTTAGTCAGATTTTCCATTTTTGTGATCAAAAGACCTGACAAGAACAATTAGAGGAGGAAAAGTTTATTTGGGGGGCTCAGAGTTTCACAGGTCTCAGTCCATAGATGGCCAACTCCATTCCTTGGGGCTCAAGGTGAGGAAGAATGTGGTGAGTAGTAGCAGCTCAAGACATCACACCAGGAAGGAGAGAGAGAGAGAGAGAGAGAGAGAGAGAGCTCTGCTCAAGGAGGGTAAAACATATACCCCAAATGCATACCTCCAAGCGTCCACCTCCTCCAGCTATCTCCTAATCGTCTTCAGTTCCCACCCAGTTAATTCTATCTAATTCACTGATTGGGTTAAAGTTCTCACAACCCAATCATCTCTCCTCTTAGCCTTCTTGTATTGTCCCACACATGAGCTTTTGGAAGACACCTCACATCCAAACCATAACAACCACAAAAAAGAAAAGAAAAGAAAACACAATGGGTTATGAATGCAGCTCAGTCCGTGGTGGAGCACTTGGTTAGCATGTGGGAAGTTCAAGATTAAACCAAAGTTCAATCCCTAGAACAGAAGGAAAGAAAGACTGACCAACATGTACATAAAAGGATGATCAACACCACTAATCATCAGGGAATCATCAGAGCAATGCAAATTAAAGCCACAATAAGTTATTGCATCAGACTTGTTAGACTGGCTATTAACTAAAGGACAAAAGTTAAACGTTGACGAGGATATGGAGAAAAGAGAACACTCAGACACTGTTGATAGCAATGTAAATCAGGAGAGCTGTCATGTAAAATGGTATGGAGGGTCCTCCATAAATTAAAAATAGGTTACCATATGATCCAGCAATCCCATCATTAGATATATGTACAAAGGAAATAAAATTGGTATGTGGAAGAGATACCTGCACTCCAATGTTCATTGCAGAACTATTTACAATAGTCAGTATATGTAATGAACCCACGTGTCCATTAATGGATAAAGAAAATGTGGCTTATCTACACAATGGAATACTACACAGCCTTTAGAAAGAAAGAAATCCTGTCATTATTTTACAACATGGATGCACCCAGCAAACATCATGCTTATTAAAGTAAACCCAGAACAAAAGGGCAAATACTGCACAATCTTACTTATCCATGGAATGTAAAAAATGCTGAACTTATAGAAACAGAGCAGAATGGTGATTGCCATCAGCTGGTGGGTGTGGGGAGGGAATGAGGAGAGGTTGGTCCAAGGGTCCATATTTTTCAGTTAGATCTTCTGGAGGTCTGTTGTATAGCATAGTGACTATAGCAAATAATAATGCATTGTATATTTGATAATTGCCAGGAGAGTACATCTTAAGTGTTCTTACCACAAACAAATGATAATTATGTGAAGCGGTAGATAGGTTAATTAGATTGATTTAATCATTTCATAATATATAGATAAATCATCACTTTACACACCAGAATATACACAATAAAACAAACAAACAAACCTTGGACCTGAGCCCAGTGCTGTACAAACCTCCAAACATGGCAGGTCTTCCATTCCATAATCCCTGCCTGGGTTTGAAGGGTCGGTTCCATTTATTGAAGCATTAAAAGTTTGCATCCTAAAGGGGAGTAGAGGTCTCTATCTCTATTTTCCTCGTCTCTCCCTGAGTTAATCTAGTCTCATTCCGGCTTGTGGAAATGCAGAATCTTTAGGATTTTGTATGCTCTTGAGATCCTGGCTTGTTACCTGCTCCCTCCCAGTCCTGAATAATAACAGCTAACCCCATGTAGTGTTTAGTATGTGCCAGGCACAGTTCTAAGCATTTTGCATGTGACACTCATTTAACTTTTACAAGAGTCTTGTGAGGTCATTACTATTATCGTCACCATATCACGGGTAGGAAAACTGAGGCACAGAGAGGTTAAGTAACTTGCCCAAGGTGACAACAGATATTCTATGGTAAGAGCTGGGATTTAGGTCTTGGGCAGTCTGGTTTCAGAGACATCTATCCCCAGATGTCAGCAAATGATGAAGCTAAGACCAACAACTCAACATCTGAGCCCCCAAGGGGTAGTGATCCCCATTTCAGTCTCAGTGGTGTTCTGGAGTAGACTACTAACTCAAGATGCAAGCCAGCTTGTTAAATGTTCAGAAATGTGGTATTCAGTGTTACACTGTTAATGGCTTGAAATTGGCCATTAATCTCCATCACACCATGGAAATTGGCAGATGCTACAAATCAGAGACCATATCCAAAACCAGGGTTCCTGCTGGAAGACTCCCATCTTGAGTTGCAGCTGGGTTAGCCTGAAAGGCATATGAGGGTTTCTTAGATGCTTTCAATTGCTGTATGTGCTCCAGGTTCTCTTTGAAGGAATAGACAAAAAACCTACTGAGCCTAATACACGTCAGCCCAGACCTGACAAGGAAGCTACCACTCCACCCTGGCCAGCTGTGGAGCATCTCAAACCATAGCTCCCTTCCCCCCAGAGCACTGGTGGGATATTCCAAGGCAGGCATTGCACATCAGCAGGAGTTCCTTAATAACTCACCTGAATTTGCTGCCCTCTGTTCACTGCCTCACTTTCCTCCTCCCTTATTTCTTGCACTTAACAAAATTAACTGATGTTCCAATTCTTTTCTAAAAGTTTGCTTCTGGGGTGCCCCCCAACTAAAAGAAGGGCTAAGTAGGCAACTCTGCGTGCCAAAGCAAGGAGTCTTTACCAGCCCAGGATGAAAACACACTCCTGCTACCTTGTCTGCTAATGGCATTGCTGGCTGCCTGGGTGATACCCCTTTCTCTAGGGAAGATGAGGAAGCATCTAAGAGTTTCCCTCCAAGAAAACAGTGACATGCTCTTGTTGTCATTTTTCCAATGTTTGAGAGGGGTTGGACCCTGAGCTCCGGGTAGCAATTATCTCCTGGGTCTCCCTCTGGGACAACATGACCTTTCCTGGAGGTTTAGGAGTACAGACTTTTCTGGCAGAATGTTTTAGGGGAGCAGTCTTCTGAACCAGTTTTGGGGCATGGCAGATTTGGAGCTGATACATTCGATTCCAGTGACTCCCTTTATCCTTCAGGTTTTATCTGACTTATAGCCAAAGCCCAGCTTTGGCTACTGGGCATGATACATTTTCAACAATACATTTTCATTCTCCTAAAGGGCAAAAAGAGGAAGTGAGGAAAGAAATTGAGGATCCAGGACCTCAGAGAGGAATGTACAGAGGACCCTCCTTCTTGGTTCACTGCAATCCTGCCAGGTCTATTTTACTGCTCTGGATCCCCAATTCTAAACATAGATCGTGTGCTTTATTAAGTCCTGAGTTTGCTTTCTAACTAATAAAAAAACTGTTAGCAGGAGCAAAATAATTTGTCTAATGAATTTGAAAGCAGATTTATTCAAGTACGTACGGTGGCATTACTTTGCATCCTGGGACAAAGGAAAAGTGACTACTAAGAGGGCAAACTGATTATGATCTGTGTGTAGCAGAACCTGATATCATATTGGCTATACAAATTTAATTCTCTGTTGGTTAACCAGAAGGGTCTTGATTTCTTTCTTTCATACCTGATACCTCTTCTAGTGAGGTACAGAAGATTAAAGTTTAAGATTGTAACTGGGATTACCACCAGCAATATTTTTTGAAGACTGTGGTTCATGTTTGTCTGGACACATGTGTTTGGTACACAGACTATGAGTTCCCCTGGACAGAAAGTCAGTCCTATTGGGCCCTGTAATTAACAAAGGAGTGAGGAAGGGGGAGGTTTGTTTGTAATGGACCAATGATTACCTCCTTGTCCCCAACTCTTTCATTTTTCTCCTTGCAGTAGAACCTATGCCCATTTAAAAATTATGTAACTCAACAGACTAACTCAAATAGTTCTTGATATTTCAGGTAACAGTGTGGAGGGGGGTGGAGTGGGTTCAGGGTTGGTAAGGCAAATAGAAAAGTGTAGGGAAAGATCTTATCTGGCAAAGAATGTGGTCCCCTCGATGAATCATTGTGCAAGCAACCAGTCATGGGCCTGGACGTGGGTTGGCTCTTGATTCTACTGAATCAATGGTGACTAAAGATACGGTAGTTTTCATTTCCTGTGACTCATGAAGGCAGCCCATGGGGAAAGACTGGTTTCCAGGGTCCAATCTGTTAGCTTAAGCCCTTCAACTTTGCTCAGGGACAGAGATGAGAGATTACTGGGTCCACTAGACATGGCCTTTCTTAAAAGTCATTCTGAGGTTAACTTTTTAGAATACATAGGCTCATATTCATCTTCATTGGATCCAAATTGGTAACGTATCTTATTGACTCAAACTTCTGAGTCACTTCAAGTATTTCTGAAGCAGATGTTGGAGCCACATGCAGGAATACAGAAGGAACAAAATCTCTGCCCTTCTGGAATCTACAGAGAGGCACAACTTGGGCTTGTGGGTGTGCTTCAGTCAAAATGTAGAACAAGCCACATAACTGTGCACTCAACCATGATGAGGCCTTTTATGGCATTTATAAATGTCCCTGGAGGCTATTACTCAAAAGGGTTCATCTAATAAATAGAACCAATAATTATTCTGTTTTGGATTGCTAACTATGTGTAACTTTAGGAAGAGGTCAAAAGTGTCTAGTTTGCTCCACATTTCCTCAGCATTCTGACCCTTGTGATTACAGAATTGGGGTGCAGGTAGAGGTCAGGATGTAGGGAGAATTGTATTACCTCAATCTCTTTTATATTGGGGCTGATTTCTGAAAGCTGGTGTGGGTGGGGTGAGTGTGTTTGATCATTTGCCGGGGGGGGTACATTGCATAGTCCTGCTAGTTTAATCTCAGGTCCTTCTTTGGTGGGACCCTTTCTTGGAGGGGTCTTGGCATGGATCTAGAATTTAGAAATTAGCCACATCTCCTGGGAGCCACTTTATGAAGGTGTCCAGGTTTCAGGAAGGAGATGAGACTGCAGAAATGCTCTTCCATTCTTCTTGGGCTGTTGGTTCTGTTCCCTTGATCTTTTCTCAGTCAAGGTGTCATTGAAGAAGACAATATGTCCCATTTAGATGGTTTGTTGATACTGTTACCATATTGAGGTCTAGTGGGCACCAGGACCGTGGATGGTTTTGCTCCGGGTGGGAAGGGGCTGTAAGGTGCTGTGTATGACTTCACAAGTACTGGGAAGTTTACCTTTCCTCCAAAAGCATTTACCTAATGTGTTTCAGTTAGGAGAAATTCTACAAATGAGGCTTTATATATATTTTTTCCTACTTAAGCTTCTAGTAGGAAATTTCTGTGGTTTGGGAAATACAGTGTCATATCATCATTCATTCAATGTAAGAATAAGTTTTTCAGTCAGGGTTATTGAGGCATAACTCATAACTTGCATACAGTAAAAACCCTCCACCTTTTAAGTGCTCAGTACTGAGTTTGGGCTAGCATACAGAGTCATGAAACCACCCTTGAAAGCAACATGGAGAATATTTCTATCACCCCGAAAGTTCCCTTTTGCCTTTGAGAACCCTCCACTCCCATCCTAGTCCCTGGAAATCGCTGATCTGATTTCTGACCCTTTTGCCTTTTTCAGGGTCATGAGCATGGATTCATCTGGATGTAATCCTTTACTCAGCCAATGCATTGGAGAGTCCTCCAAGTCACTGATTATCCTTTGCCTTGATGAACAGCAGCCCACAGTGTTTGTTCCCCCAGAGGGAGGGTGGGGGCTACAGCATTGTAGAGCATGGACTGCTGCTTCACTCTTTCCCTTGGATTCTACCTCCTTGTCATCCTCCAGTTGCAGCACCAATGGTGTTGTAGGAGGGTATGTAGGAGGAGAATGCTTTTCTAAGGGTCAAAAGGGTGAAAATCATCCTTCTGCCTTCCATTGTGCTTGGGCAAATGGCCTGAGGTGGTGAGGTGGTAAGCAACAAAAGGAACAGATTTGGACTAATGAGCCAGGGAGTTCTTGATTGGAAGGATTTCCCCAGAAAGGAGATGAACCAGAGCCGGACTTGATTATTCCATTGGGGCATCAGGAACAATTCAACCCAGTTTTGTTTGGCCTTGAATTCTACTGATCATGGTTCAGAATCCCGGGGGAAGAGATGGTCAGCTTGCCAGAGCAACTGTCAAACTGCACGCTCCAGGAGAGATGGGTGGTACCAACCAAGGAAATCAGGAAGCTAGGACCAGAAGATGTCAGAAACAGATGTGGGCTACCCCAGAAAAAATATCAGCTCTCCTCCAAAAGGGTGGGTCTATCTGCAGAGAGGATCATGTAGCCCTTATTATTCGTAAGTTTCCTGGACCTAAGAACCTACCTGGAATATGCTTTACTAAATCACAATATTTATGGATATTTGGGCTGGCTTCAGGGATTTTTCTCCAGTTTCTAGATTTTTTTCTTCCTTCTATGTTTAGTATTTAGGGTTAGTATTTTTTTATATTTACACACACACACACACACACACATTTCCATGCTTTGGTGCCTGCTGCAATTTTAAGTTGTATCAACTCTGCTACCCTGAGAATTGCCTCTTAAATAAACAAATGAAGGACTGACTGATCTTTTCAGCTCAGGGTCTGAGCCTTTGGCCTGGGCCACCATGGGACTCAGGAAAGCAGCCTTGGATGCCTTGTTTATGATGAAATCTCTTCAAGATCAGCCAATATTTCTCAGCCTCTGAATCCTGTGAAATAAGCATGCTAGCATTCTACTTCTGATTTGGAAAGCTGGGAGTTTTGTGAGAAACTTTTGTTAAGAATATACTGAGAGGAATTATTCCTGGAAATACAGATTGTGACCTATTAGAACGACAAGTTCTATATGTCCACTGTATGCTAATGTCTCTAATATATTTTTTCTGTATCTGTAAGGATGTTGACCATGTTGAAGGATGCTGTGATGAAACTTGTCCCTGAAATACATACTTGATTCCAAGTTGATTAAGTATGGAAAAGGTAAAAAATATATATATATACATTAGCATGCCATCTTTGACATTATGTGAGAGTTTTCACGGATGTGAACTATGAGGAAAGACACAGAGATGTGGTCTAGTCCAACGCTTGTTCTACTGAGGTTTGCAGGAATTAATGACTCTTTCCTTAGGTCACCAAATTGTGTGAGACACAGCTGGAATTCAGACTCAGGTCTCTTAGCATTTTTATTCTGAGTTATTTCTTGGATGGGTCACTTTTGTGATTTTGAGCATTACCAGACATTAACTACAATGGGCAGAACCAGCTAAAGTTTGCAAAATTTCTCTAGCTTTCCCTTAATGGTTAGAAATTGGCAATTAGAAACAACAAATACATGTCAAGGATGTTGAATCCGTATATTATTTGAGCTTCAAACAGATGTGATAAAAAGACTGAATTACAGCAAGTCCTCAAAGTTAAACTGTTCCTGAAAAGAGTGGCAGAGAGGTCCAGGAGGGAATTAGGAAAATGTGGTCTTATGTGAATGTTTATATTTGGCTGTAGTTCACCAAAAACGTAGGTCAATACAGTTCTCTTTCCAGGCTGTGTATAAGTTGGCAAATGACAGAAACAACATTTGCTTCTAATCACCCATCCATCTTAATAATGCCGAACAGATACAGGCAGACTCTTGCACAATCACCAGCATTTCATGATGCCAGAATCTTTGCCAATTTGAAAGAGGTCCTTGAATCCGGGGAGAGTTACATTTTTATGTTTTTGATCATGATCTTCTTGGAAGATACTTATTAGGGCCATTTGTTGACAACATTAAGAATTAACAAATTATGTTGTTAAAGCATAACAAAAGTTTAATGGTCTCATTAGAGAACCATAAAGTCTGTTACTTAAGAGAGAAATATTGTGGTGTTGGAAAGCAGGAAATATTTACCAAAGACTCTTCGGGGTCTAATTTCTAGAACTAAGACAAAGCTCAGCTATTGTGGTCAAAAGAATTTTTTTTTTTTTAAAAGAGCAAAATCCTTGTATATTGGATGTCAGCATAGTCCCCTAGTATCTAAGAACTTAATTAGTCATGTGTATGCATTGAGTTGTGTTTTTTTTTAAGTTAAAAAAAATGAGAATTCTTGTAAGCAGTTCTACTTTTTAAAATAGAAAAGAGGCAATTTTTATTATTTGGGGCCTGGTCTGGGAAAATAGAAGCAGTCTGCATTGGGGACTGCCCACCTGTTACTGATGGTTGTCAGAGAGAAGGGACTGAGGGTCACACATAATACCTGTAGATACTCCTTTCTCTCAGTGAGTAGCAGAATTCCCCCTTGCTATTCTCTGCAGAAGCAAGAGAAAGTAATGCCATATTCACTAGTGGCCTGAACATGCGTAATACACGGAAGCCGGAGTCTCAGATGCTGGCATCCAGGTCTCCCAGGCAAAGCGAGTATATGGCCACTTCTAGAGAAGGACGGTCCTTGGGGAGGAATAGGGATTAAATTCTTAATAATGAAAGAAACCATTCACCAATTTGGGAAATCTGTTGATCATTGTTATAAAAAGTGAATTGAGACAATTATCTGAATGTTTCAATTAAATTCAGGCCAAAATATGTTTGTGTCTGAATTCTCCAAATAATGGAGTTCCAGTGAAAAGAATTTTCTACCTGGGTGAAGTGGCACATGCCTGCAAATCCCAGCTACTCAAGAGGCTGAGGCAGGAGGATTTCATGTTCAAGCTCAGCCCAGTGGCAATTTAGTAAGACTGTGTCTAAAGGAAAGAAAGAAAAAAGAAAAAGCATTGGATGTAGTTCAGTGGTAGAGTTCTTGCCTAGAGCTAGATTCATCTCCAGTATCCACCATCCCAAATGCGGGGTGGTGGTGGTGAGGAATCCTAAATTGGGAGTTGGAACCTCTGGGTTGATTAAGGAATGTTTAAAGACACACTGTAGGTCCCTTTTTCCTTGTGTATAAAATTAGGTTTCCTTACTTGAAAGTATGAGTCTATCCAAAAGAGTGGATGAATTTAGCTTTGTTAGGTCTGAACACACATTTCTTATACCAGAAAAACGTCAAGTTAGTGAAATTGTTGGGACAGTGGAACCAGAGGGGACATATGTGCATTGGGGACAGCAAAGTCAAAGTCAACCCTAAGGCAGATATTAAGAGGACTTATTTGCTAGGGCTGGGGCTGCTGAGATGCTGCTGCTGCTGCTGCTGCTGCTGCTGCTGATGATGATGATGATGATTTTATGTATTTAATTTATTTATTTTTTTCGAGGAGTTTAGAATCTGCCTCAGTTGTAGAAGGAGCCTTAGGTTTCTTATGCAGAAGCCAAGGGGCTGGAGTGAGCCATCCCAGGATGGCTGAAGTCCTCTATCTATCGTCCTGACTTACTTACAGGCAGCAGAGGCTCCGAGTGTGAAGTGGGTAAGGAGACAGGGGCTTCCCTTGGTCCCTGACTGGGCAAGTTCAGCACAGAGACCCAGCATCCTTTATTTACCATATGGGTGCTCCGCAGAGAAAAGGAACTCTGACCAAAGGAGGGCAGGAGACTTGATCTTTGTGGAGAGGGAGTGGCAGTGCAGAATGGAGCAGGCAGACATCCAGGTGGTTCTCTCCACTTCCTTGTCCATCGCGGGTCCGGAGGTTTTCTGGGTAGCTGGGGCAGAAGTGACTACAAAGCGCCTACACATGGGGTTGGCTGAGGTGGTGGGAGCTAGGGTTCTTTGAGAATTGACCCACTGAGGCCTCGCCCCCGCTGGCCCATCTCCAGGCAGGTCTGACAAGTGCCAGAGGCTACTTCCCAAACCAAACCCAGCCCTCACCCCCGCCCAGCAGTCCCTTGTCCCCCGTGGCCCCGGGTTAGCCCACGGCCAGCAGCCTGGTGTATGCACAGCTGTGCTGCGGCCCCTTTGGCGGAGAGGGGCGCTCTGGGGCTCAGGGTGCTGCGGGTTGTGGGAAGCGGGTGGGGAGGGGGCTGGAGGCTGGGAGAAGGATGGACCCTGCCCTGGGCCTGGGGGCCACGTGGTGGGCGCGGCCGGATTCCCTGGCTGGCCCTGGGTCTCCACCCTGAGCTCTCCGCGCCCGGGAGGAATCTTGTTTTCTGGGCTGATGCTGGAAGGGACAGCCTTTGGAGGGCTGCAGAGCTCACACTGCCCAAGCTACGGTGGAGGCCCGGGTCCTTCCATCGGATCCAGTCTCCTCTCTGAAGACCCGGGTCTCCGCTGCGGCGCGCGTTTCCTGCCAAACTCCAGCGTCGCCCGAACCCAAAGCGTCAGTTCAACTTTCCGTGTTCCTTGAGAAAACAGAAGCTCCTACTGTCGCCCTTCTTTACCAGCACCCAGAAACCGAAATTCCCGGCTGGGGGTGTGAAGGAGGGGTGGGGAAGAGGCGACAGCGCCCCCGGGACCCCTCCCCGCCCACCAACAATGATTGTCCTTTGTGTCTTGGGATCGGAGTTTGGAACTGGTCCTAGAACGCGGAACAGAGGAGAAAAGCTCCTGTGACTGTGACAATTCTTAGAAGCCTTGCAGGAGGCCTGGGAAAACAAAGAAAGGGGACCGGAGGCCACGGAGGGCACCGCAGTCTGTTGGATCTCGAAGTGTTCATTAGGAAGGAAATCAATTCTTCCTTCCTTCCTTCCTAGGGTGGTGAAGACGGTTGTGATTTTTTAAAACATTGCCTTTCCCCTTTTCTCTTTGACATTGCTGTTTCTGTGTCCTTTAATATAAATAAATTAGCAACTATTTTAGTAAAAGGAGAAAGATTTGTGCTGTCTGAAGAGAAACCAGAGGACAGCAGTGTTTTTAATAAAATCTCCCATTGTGGGACTACTTTCACTGTGGAATTGAAAATAGTGGTTTTACACAAGGCAGCACTTTGCCTGTGGAGAGATGGCACACAGTTGGAGAGAAATGGCCTGCTGGGATCAGGTGGGCAGCACCTGAGGTTACTGGCTTCCTGCTGTCCTTTAGTCTCAGATGGTTTTCAAGAGCAAAGCTCAAGGGTTGAGCATGATAATTTCAACCCAGTGTACCTGTTGCCCCTTCCACCAGTTGCTGGTCTGTTTTATTTTTCCTGTCTAATTATCAGCCTTGTGGCTGCAAATATCTACCCTTTTGTCATAATTCAACCCTGTTATTATCACTCTTTATGACTACTAAGTAGGTATAACCAAAATCAGTCAAGACTTGTTACTTGTTAGCTAGACTTGGGCATGGGCTTTTTCCTCCCATTCCTGCTAAAGAGGGGCATCTTCAAATAGGTCACATTTTTGTTTCCTCACCTTCTTATGCCTAAATCCCAAACCATCTTCCTGCATTGGATAAGAATAGTAGGGCTGACAGTGGGGCCTGTTCCCTGTCTCTAAACCATTTCCATTTCTCTTTAGAATTTTGCAATCTATAAATTGTTAAGAGTCCTATTGCCTTTGAACTTAATTTGAAAACAACTGTCCACCTCTACACATGATAGCTTCACAAATGAGGGGAGTGAAAAAACAAAAACAAAAACAGCCCACCATTTTTTCCACACTCAAATGAACCTCTGAATTCCTGAAAAGGTGAATAGTGTAGTTTTGACAAAAACACTGACAGTTATGTTGCTCTTAAACCTGCTTGAAGACTCATTGGTGTGATAGTCTTAATTAAAAAAAAAAAGTTTACAGCCTTTTGAGTCCAAATACAATTTCCTTGAAAATATTGGTTTGACTAAATGCTCAATCAGCCTCCTAAATAGGATTCTTGGGGGAGAGAGGCATGCACATCTTATCATTTCTCTGATAACCCTCAGATGAGTACTTATGAAGGTAATAAGAAATCTCATTAGTGGAAGGCCTATCCTGGAAATGTGTGTGTGTGTGTGTGTGTGTGTGTGTGTGAGTGTTTGGTAAGGAAACCTGCTTCCACCTTTATTAAAGTATGGTGGAAAATATTTTGATCCCTGGGTGATGTTTCTTGACACTCAAACCTGAACCCATTTTGTGGGGTAGAGACAAAAAGCTATCTCCAATGGATCACCACAAAGTGTATATGTCAATTGTGGGTTTTATTAAAAAATAACCACTATGCCTGGGTTTCATAAAATTTATACACGAATATATACACAGACACAAATAAAATAATATTAAAAATAAAAATCACACTTGCTTTCATGTGGAAGTGGACTGGCACCCCACAAACATGTTAACTCTTCCTTTAAAGAAATTACTTGGCCCAAAGAGACCACAGTTAGAGAACCACTAATAAAGCTGTAGCCGTTGCCTGCAACATTTTCGATTCAGGTTTCAAAAATATATAAATAATTTAATTACAAAACCCAACATTTTTTTTTCCTCTTTTGGCACAGTGAAGCATTGGTCAATAGCAGAGAAGTGACGGAAGGTTTTCTGACACCTCTCTCACACTCGCACATGTGAATACCACATACGTACAGGAGTGGGGTCCAATAAACCCCAAACAGTAGTCATTATCATTTATCCTATGGAATGGTTCCCTGATGTGCTTTGGGGGGAGGGGAATGAATCCATGGAAGGTGCAACAAACATAGGGGGAGTAGGAAACAGCCTGGGTAGTAAGGAGAGAGAAGTCTTTATAAGGGAGAGAGGACAGGCCCGGCCAAGAACTTAAAATAATAAAAACTGCTTTGGTCCTCTGTAAAGTTATCAAAAACTACTCTGGACTAAGTTACAACACTTCTGTCCAAATGTTTTAGCTTTAAGGCACGTTTGATTTTTTTTTTAAAACCTCCTTTTCACTGGATAGAAAGTGCACAGCCCGCGAGCCTGCATTCTTCTTCTCCCCGACGGCACCAACAGTTTCGGGGCTCAGCAGCATGGCTTAGGCCAGAAGTGTCTGTACTGGGTAGGGCAGGTGCGGGCCAGGGCCGCAGGCCGAGGCCGCCTGCAGAGCCGCGGGCAGCCGCAGGGGGCAGTACAGGTGCGCGCCGCCGCCAGCCGCTGGGCCTCGGAATGGCTTAGCTGGGGTGGCGGTAGAAAGGGGAGCTAGCAGGAGGTGCGCGGCTGGCGGTGGCGCTGAGGGCTGCGGTTCAGACCCGCACGCGCCCAGCAGCGCCGGCTCGCCTGCGCCGTACGCACAGAGTGGCAACAGGGCCCCACCAGGAGCCGCGGGGAGCAGTGCAGGATACGCGGGCAGCGGTGCGCAGGGCGCGGTGCCCCATGGCAGCTGTACCCCCTGTACCCCGGGGCCCGCGTCCTTGTCCCGGCGGCTGCGGAAGGGCTTGCTGAGGATGCTGTCGATGGCGAAGGAGCTGGAGAACTTGCCCGTGGGGCTGGCGCGCCCTTCCTGGCGTGCAGGCGAGCGCGCTTGAGGAGAGGCAGGGGTAGGGGGCGCGGGTGGAGGGGGCGCGGCGTTGGGGCGGGCAGTGGCCTCCTCGGGCCGAAGTCCCGGTGCGGGGACTGTAGACCGATGGCTGAGGCGTTTGCGGCGGCGGCGGAAGACCCCGTCAGCGAAGGTGTACTCGCTATTGGGGTTCAGCATCCAGTAGTTGTCCTTGCCCCAGGGCCGCGAGGGGTCGCGCAGCACCTTGACGAAACAGTCGTTGAGCGAGAGGTTGTGGCGCACCGAGTTGCGCCAGCCGGTGTAGCTGCCGCGGAAAAAGGGGAACTTGCCCATGAGGTACTCGTTGATCTCCGCCAGCGTCAGGCGCCCGCCCGCCGAGTCGCGGATGGCCATGGCGATCAGTGCGATGTAGGAGTACGGGGGCTTGGGCCGCCGCGTGTACGGCTTGCTGCGTGCGCCTTCGCCGCCCGCCACGCTCCCAGCGCACCGACCTGTCGCGCCGCTGTTGTCGCCTCCGCCGGGCCCTCGTCCTGGGTACCCGGGCCCCTGTCGGAGCTGTGCTCGCTGCCGACCGCCGGATCACCGGCGCCACCGCCCGCCGCAGGGCTGTTGGCCGCGCAATCACCGTCTGAGCCCAGGGAGTCGTCGCCGGCTGCCGACAGCGGGGACGGCGCGTCGCTGCCACCCGCACCTTCCAGGTCACTACCGGGCTTGTCCCCGTGGGCCGCGCGGGGGGCGAACACCTCTAACTTCATGCCCAGTCCCCGCCCGGTGCCGTACCCTTTTCTTTAACGCAGTCTTAGGAAGGGGCAGGAGAGGCAATCGCGGAGCTCCGTGTCCTGGCCTTTCTTTCCCAGGAACCTCCTTCGTCCTTCGGAGAGACACACTTTTCCGTGTAAGAGTCCTCTTCCTTTGGATTTATTTTTTGAGGGGCTGTGAGTTGGGTGGACCAAAAGGGGTGCAGGAGGAGTTGGGTGAGCGCTGTCTTTAGTTCGGGAATTACAGACTTAGGGGTGAATGCGTTTGGGGGCTGCAGTTTCACCCTCTCTAGTGCCGAGAGCGCGGGGCTTAGAAGAATTTCTTGTTGGAAAGAAGCCCGAGCATCTGCTATCCGTTAAAGAGTTCAGGAGAGGTTCTTCACTGGAGACCCAGGTCCCAAGCAGGCAGGCGTTCTCGGGGTACGGAGATATAGCCGGCTGGTGTGCACGTCACCCTTGGAGGAGGATCCGGACCGAGCCTTTAGGCTCTAGCACCCGTGGAGCCGAGACTTCGAGGCCGCTGCACCCGCAGCCGCCTTCCCGCCCCCGGCCTCTGGGGCAGCATGTCCGCGCTGGCCGGCCGCAGCTGAGTCTCGCCTCCACCTTCGGCTCGGCCCAATATAACCCTGCGGCAGCTCTCTGGGGGCGGGGCCTGGGCGCAGACAGCTAGGGGGTGGGGGAACGAGGTGGCCAAGGTGGCCGCGGCTACCCCGCGGGCGCGCACCAGGCGGAGGCCACGCGGCGGCGCGGCCACAGAGTAGCTGGGCGCAGGTTGTTTGTTTTGGGTCTGGCCGGCCCCGCCTTCCTCCTCCCGCCAATGAGGAGCGTGCGCGCGGCTGGGGGTGCGTGTGTCTGTGAGTGTGCCTGTGCGCGCGCTTGTGGGGCGGCTCCGCCCTCCCTCCCGCTTCAGTGCTCAGGTGTGAGCACCCGGCCTCCAGCTTTGAGGGAGGGGTTCCTGCGACCTGGAGTTCCTGGAGGCGATTGGGCGAGTGTGCCTGGCGGGGGAGACTACCCCTGGATATTCCTAGGGAGGCACCTGAGAGGGTTGGGTCCAGCAGGGAGCAGGGGCGTTTCTCAGGCCTGTGGCCTTCCTAAACTGCATGCGGCTTGGGTTTGCTTGTAATGAAAATCGTGCTTCTTAGGAAAGCAGAGCTCTTCCATCCCTGCAGAGGTTCTGGGCAGAAGCCGCCCAGGACATACTTTGCAGGGACTTCTTTCCGGAGCCAAGTGCTGTGCCCCTTCCTGTGATTTCCTTCCAAAGACTACCTTTTGTCTTTTCGCCTTTTTTTTTTTTTTATGAGTAAAATACAGGGTGGAAATTGTATGCTCCGTTTTTGATGACTCTTACTTGCCAAATGGCCTCTGACTTTCACTTTTCTTTTGTCTTACTTTACCTGGCTAATGGCTCTTGGGGAAGGACAGTGGCTTCCCCATTCACCCCCTGGGGTGGCTGTGTTTGGTGTTCTGTGCGGGGCTCTTGCCTGCACTTGCGCCCCTGAGACGCCAGCTGAGCTCAGCTCCATTATTCTGGACAATCAACAGGAACAACTAGGAGGGCGTGTTCCCGAGGGCCTGGGCCAAGAGCACCACAAATTTACCGCCATTTCTCTCCAGTCCTCCTTTAGGACTTTGACTGTGGCTTCCGTGGCACCTGTGTTGAACCGTCCAGAAAAGGAGGCGGCCCTTGACCCGCGACAGGGCCCTTGGGCCCTGAAGCCTATGCGGTGTCAGCACTCCTGGGAAAGGGGGCCCTGGTCTTCAGGACCGGTACACTTCCAATCCGCTGCCTACCATACTGAAGTTTCCTCCTTTTTCCTGTCTTTGTTGGAAATAGTGACGGGGGCCTCGAGTACGTGGGAGCTCATCTTTGATGTTTATTTTATTGCTTTCCACCATTTGTGTAGAAGACGTACACAGTCCCCTGTCTTTATTCAAAGGGTTTTAAAGGCATTGAGAATGGGGTGGGCAAAATGACAGAACCTTGGAGGGCTCGGTTAGTTTGTGCTTGGGGGAATGATGGGGTTTGGAGATTGGATGCATGTTTATTGAGGTGGGGGGTCGATTAAGAATGGAATAGTGAATGAGTGTCTCTGTGTGGGGTGGGGAGGGGTGGGGAGGGTCTACTTAGCTCTAGCCCTGAGAATTGATAGTTCCCCGGATCTGGGGAGGGGACTGGGTTGGGACTAGAAGTTAGCCTGGTAAAGAGGCATTGATTTGGCCAGGGATAAAAGAGATTCTTAATGACTGTTAGCCTCCTTTGAATTTTTGAGGTTCCCCAGGACAAGAGGGCTCATTCTTATTTTAGGGGGAGAGAGAACTCTGGGAAGCCAGTGAGGATCAGAAAGGGCAGTGGGAGATTCCTGGCCAAAGAATATTTGTTGGCTGCCAAGGACAGGACCCCACCCCACCTGCAGCCCTGCTTTCTCCCTAAGGTAGCCTCCATCAACTGCATCTGCCCTTCTTTTCACTTTCATTTCAGGTAGGGCTAGGACCCACCCCACTGGGCACTCCCCTGTGGAGTTGTCTTTTGTCTGCCGGGGAGTCTGAAAAGGAGTGCTGGGGCAAGGAAGAAGGGTGGAGGTAGGAGAATTTTCAACCTCATTGTTTCCTGAGTAACTCAAGTCTTTGGAGATGGAAATAAGCAGGTTGAGAAGCTGCCTCCAGCAACCTTAGGGAGACTTTGAAAAGGAAGATCCCTTCTCCTGAATGGCAAGAGGTGGTCACATGGAAAGGGGAAAAATGACCCTCAGAACTAGAAGCTAGGCACCACAAGGGCAGGAGTCTAGTCTCTTTCCTTCATAGCTATATCCCATACCTTTGTCATATAAATGTACCATTGGACTGAGGATATACTGATTTGTCTCCAGTTAAAACCAGAAATAAAACAGCTCTTTTTCATTGTGGTTGATATTGGTATTATTACTGTTAGCTGTTGTTTTGCAGATGGGAGATATTCACCTTTTGCAGATGTTAAGAGAAGGACATCATTTTCTGTATCTGTATTCACAACATCCTCAAAGTCGGACAGTTTAGGAGTCCAGACACTGAAAACAAACAAAAACAAATAAAAAACAATAACAACAGATGCATTATTTTATTTATTCATAAGTTTCCCAGAAATGCTTAGTGATTTCTGCTCCTTTATTCTCAATCTTTTGGGATTATGCCATTGATGGGTTAATAACAAATGCCTGTAGGTGGAGCCTGATGGAATGCTTATAGGTAAGACTCATTAGCTCATTTTCTCCCTTGCCCTGTAATTTCCTTGGAGATAAGTGACTAACTATGGCAAAGGATAAGTTCACATTTCCATGATCTTTTTGCCTCCCTAAAAGAGGTTCAGGAGGGGGAAGATAATGCATATATTATCTAAAAAACTAAATTAACTCTGGAAACTATCTGCTTTGCACTGCCTTAACACTAACCTGTAGAGGAAAGAATTTAATTTCTAAAAAAACTTAGGTTACTTGGTACACTGGAAACGGACTAATTGTGGAAATATTGTGACTTGTTCTATGAATTAGAAGAGCTGACAACCTCCTGGCACAAGGGGACCCACAGAATGACTTCATGATAACATTCACTTGGCAATTTGGGAGACGTCTGCTTTACCACTTACTTATCTTGTGAACCTCTGTCAGTAGCCATACTGTTTACCTATGGGTCTGGAGAGAAGGTAAACTTAGAATTCTGGTGGCAACCTGGACTCTAGATAAGTATAATGCTGTTAAGAATTGAGAAGTCAGAGGCACAGAGAATGGGCTCATGTGGAGAGCC